GTCATCTAGAAAATTTCCCCCTTTTTCACAGAGGATTTTGAGTTGATTGCTGACCAGGTGTTACTGCTGCCGAGCCGCATGGCCCAGATCCCCCTTCAAGTCTAAGGCGCTTAGTCAACTCTAGTGGCAGGATAGGTGGTGAGTCCTCCCTAAAGTTGTTTTTTCTCCATGAGAACCCAAGGGTATGCTTCCTTCCTGGGGCAGCCTACATTTAATGACTCATCCACAAGATGGGTAAAAAAGCCCAGTTGCTCAAGAAGAGCTATTGCATACAGAGGTGGCTGAGTCACTTTTTTTGTTACTGAATCCCAATCCAGCTTCTTATTGTCTAGTCTGCTTTTTTGACTTTTCCCCTAAAGGTGTTTTTTTAAACAGTATCCTGAGTATTAATCTTCATCTCCTTGGGAACAAGACCTATTACACAATGATAAGGACATTGGGAATCTGTGTTTCACTGATCTTTTCTTCTAAAGTTTTACAAGTGAGCCCTGGCAGGTGTGGCTCAGTGGATTGAGTACCAGAATGCAAAACAAAGGGCCACTGGTTCAATTCCCAGTGAGGGCACATGCCTGGGTTGCAGGCCAGGTCCCCAGTAGGGGGTGCGAGAGAGGCAACCATGTTTGATGGTGTGATGTTTCCCTTTCTTTCTCCCTTTCTTCTTCTCTCTCTAAAAGTAAATAAATAAAATCTTTAAAAAAATAAAATAAAATTCTACAGGTGCATACTTTAGAAGAAACCAACAATAAGAAGAGAACTTTTATAGGCTCCTGTCAACAATTTCATCCAGTTTCCTGTATATGAGTCTATATATGGACATTCTGACAGAGCTCAGAATTATAGTAGGAATAAAGTAGTCAGCTGAGAGTGAGCATCATCATAAAAACATGCCCTTATTTCTCCCATATGATGCCTCATTTGCTCCTTTTTCCACCCTACTTCTTTCCTTTACAACTTTCTCTCATGCTCTTTTGAACTAACTTGCTTCCATCTCAACCACTCCCTCAAAGGTGCCATTATAAAAGTCTCCTACAACTTTTAGGCTGCCCAATCCAGTGGTCAGATTTCAGACTTCATTACACATGGCTTAACAATAGCATTATCCACAGTTGGCCACATTCTCTTAAGACACTTTCTCCCCTTGACTTCCAGAATACCAGAAACTCCCGGTTCTCCCGATACCAGTCATTATTATTTCCCAGTTTCTTTTCCTGTTTCCTCCTCATCTAAACTAAAAGTGGCCCAGGGCTTAGTCCTTGGACTCCTCCTCTTCTCTGTCTGCACTTCTCCTTTGGTTATTGCATCCTGTCTCATTTACTGATGACTCACATTTTGTATCTTCAGTCCAGTCCTTTCCTGTGCACTCCAAATTTTTATTATAATTGACAGTTCAACCCCTCCACTTGAATCTCCATTAGGCACCTAACATTCAGCAGGTCCAACACTGAGCTCCTGCTCTCCCTGGTCACATCATCATTTCTTATAGTTTTCTTCATCTTGGATAATGACATCCCCATTACTCCAGGTGCGTAGGCCCCAGATCTTGCCATCATCCTTGACTTCTCTTTTTCTCTTATACCCATATCCCATACTTAAGCAAATCCTTTTGATGCCACCTCCAAAATATATTTAAAATAAACAGAGAGCCTAATCCTTATTATTAACCCCCCAGGTAGCCATACCCACTCATCTAGGTCACTACTATCTCTCAGACGGGTTAGTGTAAGAGCCCTCTAACTGGTTTCTCTGCTCCAGCTCTGTCACCTTCAGTAATGAGAGGGATCTTGTTAACAGCATCACATTACTCCTGATTCTGTAGAGGATCATGTAACTCCTCTGTTCAAAACTCTTCTGTAATTTCCTCTTTCATGTAAAGTGAAAGCTGAAATCCTTACAAAAGCCAAAAATCCCTGAACAGTCTGCCCTCCTCAACTTCTCTCCCAGTCTCATTTCTCTCTCTGTCTCTCATTCTTAATCTGATTCATCTACACAGTGAGTAGGCCTTAATTCCATTCCTTGAACATGCAAATGTAGCTCAGCCTCAGGCCTTTTGCACTTTCCAGTCCCTCTTCCTGGAACATCAGTCTTCCAGATATGCCGTGCATATGACTCACTCCTTGACCTCCTTCGTATTGTTACTCAGAGAGTGACTGGTGCTCTTCCCTGTGTAAAATTGTTGTGTATCCTTTTGATGTCCCTTAATATTGTTGCAGGGAAATGAAGCAACCAGACACCGAGGGTTTCTGGAGTACAAGGTTTATTTAACGTGCATGGGCCCAGAGGAGTCAGTATTCAAATTCTGAGCCCCGAACAAAGGATTCTTAGGGTTTTTATAGTTTACAGGGTCTTCTTATCTATGGAGCAAAGTGGGATATAGAAGCGGAATGAGGAAGTTAGTTCTAGCTATGGGGCAGAAGCAGAGTACAAAGGCTAAATTCGGAGGTCAGTTTTTAACAGCAGGGGTGTTAATCTCAGTCCTAGCTAATGAGCCGTTGTTTACTTAACCCAGACAGCCCCATCATTCTCCCTAGGGCGCCTGGGGCCTGGGCAAATAAAGGTTAAACAGAGGTTCTTCAAAGTTTCCCATATCAATATCTTTCCCCATAACATTACCATTATCTAACAGACTTTGTATTTTTTTTAATCTTTAGTATTTTCTCTGCCTCCTCCCACTAGTGGATCCCTATTATCACACTGATAGTAGGAAGACAAAGATTTTACTCTATTTTATTTATTGCTGTATTCTAGGACACATACTAGGTGATCCATTAATATGGTTGAATGAGTGAGATCAGTTCAGTCCAGAGGCTGTGAGTGCACAGCGTTTCAGAGCATGGGTTGGCAGTCAGAACGCCTGGGCTATATCTGAGCTACCCTATTTGTAGTAACTGTGTTACCTTACGCAAAGTATTTACCCCTGTTTTCTTTCACCACATGCACAATAGGAATAATAATTGTTCCTATATCCTTGCATTGTTGTTGATATTACATTATATAATGAGTGGAAAATGATTAGCATGATGACCAACATGCCTGTGTAACCAGTAGAAAGAAGTCTACGTCAACGAAACCACCTGCTTCAACTGCTTTTACCTACCAATGGTGGTGCCCTGGGAATGATCAACATAATGTAGCTTCTCCTGTCCAGTTTTCTTTAACATCAAGTCAACTGTGGAAGAAAGGTTATATTTAGCCATTTCATCAAAGCTGCAAGAAAAAAAGGACAAAATAAACAACGTATTTCTTGATATAATTTCTGAAAGTCAAACGTATTTATACCTAAGGGTCTGTTTGAGAAATTGAAAACTAGATTCTCTAAGTGTTGCTGCTTATAGAGCATTAGTGACTGTCAGGTGCTTTTGGGGTGCTCCTTATAATCAGTTGACATCATTTCTGAAGCACAGCATTAAAGCCACAATTTAATCAAAATGAAACAATACCTGAAGCTGGTGATTATTTGTATCCCTAAAGCAATGTCTGACTTAATAATCAGTTGTACGCACTGTTACGCTGCATTTAATATGAACTATGTCCCTCTCTATTGTATTCTTCACAACTCAGCCAGAATGAACTTTTGAAAATAAAAGTGGGAAGACTTCCGGTCAGGATGGAGGCATAAGCAAACACAGCTCACCTCCTCACGCAACCACATCAAAATTACAACTAAAATATTGAACCACCATTACTCAGAACCATCAGAAATTGAGTTTAATAGAAATCTAACAATTGCAAAATTAAAGAAATCACATCCATCCAGACTGGTAGGAGAGGTGCAGATGTGGAATGGGCTGGTCCAACATCCACATGTAAATAGTAAAAATTCAGGAGGGATATCTCATGAGTGAGGAGTCCCAATCACACTCCAGGTCCCCCAACCCAGGGTTCCAGTGCCAGGAGATAAGTCCCCATATCTTCTGTCTGGAAAAACAAGCAGAGATTGAGTCAGTGAAAGAAACTTCTGGAGTCCCAAGTAGTTCTTCTCAAAGAATGCTCATACAAACTTAACCAGACTCACTCCCTCTGAGTTCCAGCACTGAGGTAGCAGCTTGAAAGGCACCAGTGACATACAGGGAGAAAGTGAAGCATCTGGCATGAAGGTGAGAGCTGGGGGACAGCTTTCTCCCAGACATAAAGGCAAGCAGAGACCAATGTCCCTTTTCTGAACCCTCCCACAACAGAGTCAAAAAGCCGGCAGACTGGTGCCATATCTGAAACTCCATCAACATGGCTAAAACTGTTTGCCCCACCTTGGAGATCCCCAGAGACTCCATCATACCCCACTTACGGGCCGACCCAAGAATTAAATGGTTTGCTTCACTGAGTTGACTATTTTTGAATATTTTATTTTCATCATGGTAATAGTTTCTAAGATGATAGAACTTACTAAAATGTACACTTTAAGTAGGTGCAGATTATTGTATGCCAATAACACCTCCCAAAACTGTTAAAAATATATTTTAAAGAAATTCAGCTTGATGTTAATTTAAGTGGTCTTGCTTACTTTCATATTTTTTGTTCTTCACAATATTTCTACAATCTGAAAAAGATAAATTTTAATAGTATTAGCAAAAATGACTTTTATCTGTTTAGTAAATAAGTTTTTATTTTTCTCCCCTCTGTAACACACACCCAGGTTCACTCTCCTTGATCCTCTAGGACTGAGATCTGTTTTTTTATCTTCAAAGAGCAAGCTTTCCTTAACTTCTAGTTAGGTGCCTATGTCAGGACTTCTAGCTTTATAGCCTGTGCACAAATCTAGCATTGCTCCAATCACATATTATTAAGCTCTATTGTTTATTTATATATCTTATTTGCTTGATGATCTCCTTGAAGACCAAAGATCCTACTTCATTAGTGTTGCATTTCCAGAGTAAGCAAGAGTCATTAAGTGTTTGTGGGGGGGAAGGGAGGAAAAAGGGGAAGGAAAATAAAAAGGAAAAAATGAAGGGAGGAAAAGAGAGAGAGAAATAGAAAGAAAAAGGAAAGGGGGAAGAAGGCTATACCTCTTTTCTCTGAATTTTTCTTCCCATAAGGAATTCTGTAGATCTCAAGAATATAACCACCTTCAGTCATGCCGTCATATTCTTCACTTGGGTATTCCCAGTAAGAAATCATCTGACTCTGATGAGGAAAAACAAAAACTTCTTTAGCTCACTTCTTAAATGCATCTAATAAGTAGATATTATTATATTTAATTGAGCATGTAAAAGCTTAAATTTACTATAATTCTAAATGATGATAATCTCTTGGTTTTATAGGTTTTTTAGTCCTCCAGTACTTACAGCATTCATAGTCATTTTGGGGCTTGCAGGATTTGATCCTCCGAAGAAATCATGTGTAGTTCCAAGTGCAGATATTAAATTTGCCACTGTTAGTAATAACCACATCTATCTGAAGTAGAATAATTTCTGCCATGGTTAACCCATTACATTTTCATAGCACTCCTATTTTCTGTTAATTTTATCTTCATGTTAAGTAGGGAAATGCTTAGTTTTATTATATTATTTTGTGCCAAAACCTGGGACATATGGATACTAGTAAAGACATTTTAATGCTTAGTATGTTTTCAGTCTTTTTGATTCCTTTCGCTTGAGAATATTTTCTATTTGAAGTGATATTGAATGAAAATTAATTTAAAAGTATTCTAATTTTCTAGCAGAATATTATATTCTTTTAAAAATTATTTTATTTGTTTATCTTTAGAGGGGAAGGGAAGGAGACAGGGAGAGAAATATCAATGTATGGTTGCCTCTCGTTTATCCCTTGGTGGGAACTGGCCTGCAACCCAGGCATATGCCCTGACTGGGAATCAAACAGTGATTCTTTTGGCCAACTTATTCTGAGAGTTCAGACTTGGGGGATGAGGCACTGTGTGAGCATTTGACTCTTGTAGATTCACTCTCAATATAATATGTATTCAAAGCTATCATAATGTTTTTAATATCATTTTATTTAATATTAATAGTCTCCAAGATATTTATTGATTTGAGGTAATTATGTGCATTTATCACCAAGCCCTTATTATATGCAATGTTAAAGGAACTTACCTAAGAAAAAGAAGATAAAAAAGATGAACAGTGAAAGGACAGAAAATTCACAGTTATTAAGAACCACACCTAAAACAAAAACAAACTAAGAGAACAGCTAGATCAGGAGCAGAACCATAGAAATGAAGATCACATGGAGGGTTAGCAACAGGAGAGTGGGAGAAGGAGAAGGGGGGAGAAGGTACAGAAAATAAGTAGCATAGATAGTAGGTAGAAAATAGATGGGGGGGCAAGAATAGTAGGGGAAATACAGAATCTAAAGAACTTGAGACACGTGGTCATAAACTAAAGGGGGGAATGGTGGGGGAGGGGTGTGCAGGGTGAAGGGGAATGAAGGAGGGGAATAGAATAACTGTAATGGCATAATCAATAAAATATATTTAAAAAATAAAATAAATAAAAGCTACTTCTACCTTCTCAAAATGCTGCTATAACTAGAGTAACATGTGAATATAATATTAGGAAAGTGTTTGTTCTTTAAATATTTTGCTATGAGATGACCTATCAAAAGTTCTTAAATAGGCCTTGACATATATAAATGGACAATGTATTGGATGATAAAATAAATTTTTTTTCACAAGTGTTTAGCAATTAAAAGGAACATCAGTATCATGATTTGAAAATGATTGTAGCAATTTCTCTATTCAACCCCCTCATATTTTACAGGTAAGAAATAGCAACTAGTTCTTAGAAAATTTAATGGTGATTTCAAGTTGACCGAGTGCTATTGTTTCGATGATCAATCTTTCACATAATTGTTTTACCAAAATTGGCAGGCTTTTGCAAGCTATTTTAAAAAGTCAGAAAACATATGTCAAAATCCAAAAAAATATCTGCAACTCTTATTACAAAAGGTTAATTTATTCAATACTTAATTAGCTTTTAAAAATGGGTAAAAAAGGAAATACCAACAGCAACTGAATTGGTATAGTACGTAAAAACATTTCATAGAAATAAAAGCATCTTAAAAGCTTAAGACTTAAAAACATTTGCAAAAATTCTCAATTTCATTTTTCATCAATATAATATAAATTAAAACTACAATGTTGCAACAGTTTTCATCTATTAAATAAAGTCTAATAAGTTACAGTAATGGTAAAGTTATAAAACAGACACTTAAATGTTTGTGAAAGTATAAATATTTGAAAGATCTTTAAGAGGAATGTGACAATACTTACAAAAATTTACAAAATATGAAAATTTAAAATACATGTCCCTTCCAATCCACATTTAGAAATTTAACCTCAAATATAATTATAAATATGCCTACATATATGTATTACCATGTTCATTACAGCACTGTTTATAATAGGAAATATTTGTAACAAATTCAATGCCCATCAGTAGAGAACATAATTGTATAAATTATTTGCAACTACACCACAGAATGCCATGCATATTGTTTAAAAGAAAACAGTAAGGTAGATCTGTGTGTGCTTATATAACAAGTTATCCCAGAGGGATTATAATAGCAAGGCATAGAATTCAATGTATTTAGTGTATATAGTATAGTATATATAGCACCATTTATGAAAATGAAAATGTATAATTTAAAAAGTAAAAATAAAACACCAGAATTGTTAGGCTTTTTTTGTAGTTGTACAATAATACAGGCCAAGAGGACAGTCACAAGATGTATTTGTTATGAGACAAATAAAATGTTTTGGGTTGAAAATAGCTTAACTGATGAGCTTACTTACTATATCTAATCTCTCATAAAAACCAAGTGAGTTCCAGCTTAAATGGGGTTTTCCAACCTAAAATTTTTAACATGTGATCCTTGGAGCAACTGGTTAGCATTTTTTTCTGAGACAATAACTAGGGATTTCACATACACTCAAAGTCAGTAGACCTGAACTGATAATCCTTTCAACTTTTACATTTTGAATACAATTACAATTTACAAGCTTTCTTTTTCCAAATGATCATTTCGACAGCACGCTACCATTTTGCTCTTCTGATGGCAATTATCCTTGTTTCTCAGCACATAAAGAATATCTGACATTAGACCCAGAACATCAAAACTTCCTTTATGTTATAATCACATACAACAAGTTTGAGAACATTCAGATATTAAGCTGGGGGAAAAGCTTCAAGGAGAAGGGATATTTGTCTTCACACAGTTGAAGAAATGCCATGTGGAGAACAGTTTTATATCAATTTGTTTTTAGTGTGCCAGAAATAAATAATTCAATGTATTTTATTAAGAAACTATTGCATACTAGGAGCAATACTTGGAGGTCATGCATGAAAAGATTCTAATTCTATACAGTGAAGATTTGTAGAATCCAGACCATTGGATTCAAGTAAGATTCTTTGAAAAGTGATGAGTTCTTTGTTGACGATGATATTTCAACAGAGGCATAAAACCATTTGTCATAATTCATGTAGAGTACTTAGCATAGTGCCTGACTTACTGTAAACCCAGACTAGAACCCTCAAGACCTAATCTGACCCTCTAGCCTAATAGCTTAGTCTCTTATTTAGCAAACAGTTAGATATAATAGAATCTCTTAAAAATGGATTTTTAAAAACTAAACCACATCTTCACAATCATATTTTGGGAAGGGACAAACCAATATGTAAAGACCAATGAGTAGTGTTTTAACACTCAAACCAGAAGGCTTTGATCCAGTATTTCAGGAATGCATAATTTTATAACATCTATTGACTTCATTAAGTAATTGTTATTGTAAAGTGAGGGCATCTGACCAATAGTTTGAGTTATCAAACATTCCAACAGCCCAGTCTCATACATGTGCTCGAAGATGTTCAGGGGCAGGATGACAAGCTCTAAGATAATAACAGTAAGTAGTATTTTCAGAGTGCTCACACTGCTGGGCACTACCTGTTACATGTACAAGTGGGTTACCTTCGCTAAGATGGTTTCCTCTCCTATAAAACAGGGCCAGTAATAATGCATGTCCTGAAGTTATTACGAGAATTCATCAAGATAATAAAAGTAAAGTTCTTAACAGCATATTAGCCATCTAGTAAACCCTGGATAAATGCAGTTATAATTAGTATCATCTCATTAAACACTCATTCTAACTCGATGAGGTAAGTAGCATTATACTCTTCATTTTATAGATGAGCAAGCCAAGGCTGAAAGAGGACTTCCCCAACCTGTGTGTAGAAAGCAATTGAGCTCGTATTTGACACTAGGAAGTCTATCGGTAAAGACTATGTCTTCTCCACTATAAATGTTTCTTTAGGATGAGCTTAGGCCAACATTTATAAGGAACTACTTAGGATATCCCCAGAGAGAGTTACTTAGTTTAATCCAAACATTATTTGAGGTGTTTATAATTTGAAAATAAATGTTAGTAGCCTATGAAGTTTAATCAGTATTTTTTAAAATTTATCTTTAGAGGGGAAGGGAAGGAGAGAGGGAGAGAAATGTCCACGTATGGTTGTCTCTCATGTGTCCCCTGCCGGGAACTGGCCTGCAACCCAGGCAAGTGCCCTGACTGGAAATCAAACCGCGATCCTCTGGTTCACAGGCCCACGTTCAATCCACTGAGCTGCACCAGCCAGGGCTAACAAGAGTATTCTTAAAGGTTAATTCAATAAGTTGGTTCACGTGAAATTAAATTATTCAATGTAATATATCAATACACCCAGTTCATATGACACTAGAGCACTGATCTATTGTTTCTCAAAAGGGAGAATAAAAGATACAACACTTTCCTATTAAACATCTATGACAAAAATGCCAAATTAATAAACAGATTTGTCATCTACTAATCAAGAATTTTATGTAGTTATAAAAATAGAAGAAAAATACATCAAATCTCAGAAGAATAAAACCTAATTCAAGTAGACACACTTATATAGATCAATATATAACAAATATTTCTGTCTTTATAAATTCACCCTGGCTGGTGTAGCTCAGTGGATTGCACACAGGCCTGTGTGAAGCTAAGGATCGTCGGTTTGACTCCCAGTCAGGGCACATGCCTGGGTTGCGGGCCACGTCCCCAGTAGTGGACACACAAGAGGCAACTACACGTTGACATTTCTCTCCCACTCTTTCTCCTCCCTTCCCTTCTCTCTGAAAATAAAAAAATATTT